ATTAATTAGATTTTAATACATATGTGGAATCAGCAGAGTTACATGGCAAGAAGGTCATCCTCTATATGGGCATCACGTTTTGCTGAAAACGAAAACTTAGTTTGTGTGCCCTTGTTCATTCTTTCATTACTTAATTCAAAAATATTCATATATATTAATCATGTTTCCTTTTAACTGGGGATATATGAACAAATTATAAGTTAATTATTTATTATGAATTACTAATATTCCTAATTATAATTACTAATATTTTTAAAGAAATTTAGTAATGTGTCATAAGAAAGGAAACATTATGATTGCCGTTTGTTTTACTATTGCGAATTACTGGGTAACAGATGCCAGAACTATAATCCAGCGGAAAAACTTTTAGTTTAAAAAAATTGCAAACTCTCTGTATAAGGACTTGTGCTCGCCATTGGAAGAAAAAAAAGATTGTACGTTAGTTGGGATTAATAATTTAATGCAGACATACTATACGAGAAATATATTTTAATATCTGGAAAAATCTGATATTTAAAAGATTTATCACTATCAGTTTTCTTCTTATAAATTACGAGATTTAAAAATTAGGCAAAAAAATGAAATGTTAGTTTAGACAAATTTTGAGGACTATCACACCCAGGTTTCTTTTCTTCAGAAGCCAAAAAATATTTTCATCTCCCTCAAAACAGCATTTTGCTTCGTTTCACTTTCTGCCTTGGTTAACTTTTCAAACTGTTGCCACCAAATATTATCGCCATGTATTATTTTAAAGAAACTAAATAATAAAGAATCAACATGAATGCATGGATGTTTCTCGTATTGCGAAACAACAACGGTTCCTAAAGCCATCAAATTTTGAGTAACGTAGTCCTCCATCCGCACATGGGCATTTAGAAGCCCGAATTTTGAATTTCGAATTTGTTTTATTATCTATTTCAAATTTTGTAAATTTTTAACGGATTTTTTGATAACATACTCAACGATTTCAAAGCAAGCCATGGCATTTTTTTTTTTTTTTTAAATCTCCAGCGTGCGATACTGTGTATCGAAAATTCTAAATCTATGCTGTTTTGCTGTTTTTAAATATTTTGTGATATTCCTGTTGAACTGAATTTTATCTGGTTTAAGTGCGAAGAATGTGATATTTAATAAATAAACGTAACACACAAAACATTAAAAAAAAACGCCCTTTTGGGCGTAATATAAAATCTGAAAGATTTTTTTTTAAATTTAATTTTAAATTTTACACTGGCTTATTTCTCTTTCACTTAAGTTGTTTCATTTAAGTCTCTTTCATTTAAAGTTAATTTAAGTTGTTTGCATATTAATGATTCTTACATGATTTTCTGAATAAATAAGATGATTGTTAAAAAAATAATCGGACGTTCCAGAAATATTATCATTTAATACAATCAATGAAGTACGTATAATGTGCGAATGCCAGTCAAATACGAGAAAAGAGTTTCTGAAAATGACGATAAATTTGTTGTGACTTATCTCACTTCTCTCACAGTAACATCAGAACAAGACCACGAAATTCATTGTGGCAAACAAGTGGCAGGACAGCAAGATTGCGCTTGTCATTGGCACCATACAGGCGACTTCACTCAGTTCCGCCCCAGTTTTGATGAACAGCGCCCCGGGGAACGGGACGAGTATTCCTCACTCCTCTTTCTTGACTACAACCACTCGACAGGGCTTTTGGCTCGCCATGTCTTTAGAGTGCTTCTATGCCGCAAAGACACTGTACGTTTACAAACAAAACATCGATGTCTTTTCCGGGATTCGAATTCGAGCCCTTCGATATCGTAGTAGGCTCCCCTAACCACTACATGCCATCTGAAAGGCGGCCGATAAATTTGTTTTTGTCCTGAACATCAGTGCATTTTTCATATGATGACCGATTCCTTTACTTGCATTCAGCAAATATGCTCATTTGGTCTCGGGAGGGAAAAGAATGACAAATCATTTATCCGGATGAGCTGCAGTTCTTGTTATTCCGGATATTTAAATGATCACAATTTATGTAAAGGTGAATGTACAGGTACGTAAACGGGTAGACGGAACAGATGTTTCCCAGGGAAGAATGTGATAAGCATGAGCAGTGATGACAGACTGAAAGGGTAATAAAGGTTTCAGATTTCTGCGGGTCTCCTTGTCATGTTACTTCGCTCTATTCGATCTCCTTTATCCTGTGTCTGGTGTATTTGGGTACTTTGTTTAACCTCTAACTTAGATTAGTGTTCAGATTTTATCTTTCTAGCAATATATTTGAGGAAAGAAAAATTTTCAGCAAACTATCTTAAACAAAGAAAATATTTGGACGAACCACTCACCTGGAATAGAGCAATTTATTATATCAAGAATTAGGAAGTTCCAATGTTCTTTACGGCTCTAGCTAGCTTTTAACCTCTCCTTTTCTTATAAATCTATTAAAAATATATTGTAGATTAGTTCGCAACAACATTAATCATTTATTTGTTTGCATTAAATTTGCTTTTAATTTGCTTTTTACGAATAGAGAATGTTTGTTAAATATAAATCTATCTATACATATATATTAAAGATAATTTTTTATGTCTTATTTTTAACACAAATAATTTGAGGTTTGCAATTTAAATTTTTTCTGATGTTATTTTAAATTGAAAAGGCAGTTTAATCCCGAATCGGATACTAGTCTCCAAACGGCATTTTGATTTGAATCACTTTAAATGACGTATCACTTTTTAAATTGTTCCCACAAATATTATCGCCCTGTATTATGTTTGTAGAAATTAAATAATGAAGAATATGCATTTTTCTCGCATTGTGAAAAAATAACGATATCTAGAACCATCAAATTCTGAATAACGTCGTCTTCCACCCGAACATGGGCACGCACCTGGAAGCCCCAATTTTGAGTTTCGAATTTATTATTAGCGTTACCTCGGAAGGGCTATTAATTTCGCTTTGTGTTTTGCGTTGGTTCACTATTAAAGTCTGAATCACTTTTCAAATTGTTGCCACCAAATATTAGAGCTCTGCATTATATTAAAGAAATTAAATAATGAAGAAACTGCATGGATGTATGTATGTTTCTCGCACTGTGAAAAAACAATGGTACATAGAACCATCAAATTCTGGATAACGTAGTCCTCCACCCGAATATGGGCATCTGGAAGCTCGAATTTGGAATTTGTTTTGTTATCTATTTCATATTTTGTAAAACTTTAACGAACTCTTTATTAACACAACGATTTCAAAGCGTTCCATTAACATTAACATCGCATGCATCTTCCAAGTATGGATATTTTATGCGCGAGGTTTCTTTTTTTATGACATTGCTGTTGAATTGAATTTTATGGTTTAGGCCCAAAGAACATGATGTTTAAAAAAAATAAAGGTAACGCACAGAACGTTGAAAAACGCCACTTTGGTTGTAATATAAAATTTAGAAGCTTTCAAATATTTTTCTATTTCATATTTTCTCAAACATTAATGAATTTTTGATTAAAAAACTTAACGATTTCAAAGCGAGCAGTGGCACCACTATATGAAAAAAAAAAAATAATTTTTTTATCTCCAGCGCACGAGACTGTCTGTTGGAAATTCGAAGAATACGCTGTTTTGAAACGTTTTGCGATTTTGCCGTTGATTCGAATTTTATGTAGTGTAAGCGCCAAGATCGTGATATTTAATAAAGTAAACACACAAAACTTTAATAATAAAGAACGAAAAAAAGGTTTTGTAAAGCCGCTTTCGCAAGAAAGCTGAACGTTGATATAATATACTAAAAAAAGATCCCCCCCCCCAAAAAAAAACAGAAAAATGTATAACAACACATAACGCCGCATCGGAAACTAAACATAAACTGCTATGCTGGTTTTAAAATTTTTGTAATTTTGCTGTTGAATTGTATTTGATTTAAGTGCGAATAAAATTATGTTTAATACTAAACCTAAAAAGAAAAAAAAAGGGGGGGCGGGCTAGTACTAATGAGTGTAACAGGAGACTGGTAGACTGCGAGCTCAGCGAGAGCGTAAAAAACCTTAACAAACTCTTTTAGGCGACCGTTAAAATCTGAAATCTTTCAGATTTTTTTTTTCTTCTTTTTCTAACTTTTTTTTAAATTTTAATTTTATACGCTCTTTTTTTATTGGTGTTACAAGAAACTTTATCATGTTGACAGATTCTGATTCGAATCTTGGATGAGACATGATGATTTTGTGACTGAAGTATCTGAGCGGAGTAAGAATACATAAAAATCCATGGATCTGAGAGCCCTGGGAAGAAGTTGTTAATAGGAGTATAAGGGTGCCAGACAATCATATTTCATCTCCTAAGTTGAATGGGGATCAAAACTGGGATAGAGTTGACCTTGTATTGCCGGCAGTAATGCTGAAGGTCCACTCCAACAACAGACTCATTACTTATCCGACCATGATTACTGATAAGTCCAACCATAAACTGGATAGTAAACTGCAGAGAGAATTTAGAACAGTTAAACACAGTCATTAAAACTTCAAAACACAGTTGTATCAAATAATTTAAATATATGAAGATGTGATTTAGATGTTTCTAGATCTTCATATTATTTTATATTATATAAGAAATGAAAGTATCACCAGTGAACCGTATTTACGCATCAGTAAGCATTTAACGCTTTTCCATATATTAGTGAAAAATCAATGTAACGTTCTATTATTAATCATGATCAAACATTCAATCAAACGATCAAACGTTCTAGTATTAATCATGATCATTTAAATAGTCTAAATCATCTTGGAGTAAAGATGAAAGAAAACAGTAATTTGAGGGAAAAAAATAATGCAAATTTCAAATTTTTATATTTCAAAGTGGATCACTAATTAAGGTAAAATAATTCGGAATACAAGCATAAGGCAGCCTACTACCAACTTATCGGCGATTACCTTATTTTTATGTTCCTTGTTTTATGAAATCGCCGTCAAGCTTTATGGAGAAGTAGCCATGCAGGATTCCGTAAACCAAACACTCACCGTTGCTATGGTAGTATATGACACTGCCAGATGGATGAGGCTGATTGATGTTACGAAGCTTGCGATAGTGCGGCGTAGAACGAATCTTACCAAATATTCAATGTTTTATAAAATCTGTTTTATGTGTTTTAGTTTTTTAAAGCATTTTAATTTGACATAATATCGACATGTATTATTATGATGCTAAAACTATAGCTACATGATACGAAAGGTAAGTGCAGTTTTAATTGTATTTTGTACTAGGCCTAGGTTATATTGAATGTTCGGTACATTTTGATACTTCTGCCGCAAAAGTGATTTGTGGGATATATTTGAAAATACTCCTCACAGACTGGCAGCAAGGAATATTCATGTTTTTTAAAATTGTGAAGCATCAACCATAAATATTCTAAATTGATTTGAATACTGTGTGCTTGTTCTCTATTTTTCAACTTCGTATTTGTAAACGATTGTTGATGATGAAAATTAAAAATTGTCTGTTGGCACCGATGATTTTTAGTACTTAGTAGTAATGTTAATTTTTAGCATTTTGCTCTATACAAGGTACATAAGTCTGAAATGTGTCTTTATGATAGTTGTTTCTTCTCTAAATTCTTCATTCCTGAATGAGAACAAAACCCCGTCATTAATATGTCATAATTGATGCTCACATACAATTGAATCCAGAATATTTGTGCTATCTTTTTCGCTTCCCAGGAGCGTAATTTTCTAGATTAATGTTTATAAACAACTAGCTGTAAGGATGAAATTTTTGTGGTTTCTTATATTTAAAAATATTTTTCCTTGTGCAGTAGCGGCAAATGTAATGAGTAAAGTTATCTAACAACAATTTAATAGACATGCATATGTGTGGTATATGGTTGTCAACTTTTTTTGCTCGATCATTCCTAGAAAATCGTTCCTCCTGTTTTTCAAAAACTCAAAAAATACATTTACATTTATTTTTAACGTGACCTTATAAAGGAAACTAAAAGTATAAAAAATGTTAATAAATACGAAAACTTGAATAAAAATATAAACTAAAACTAAACACTTAGCATCTAAATAAAAGGCTCACTATACTCTCTTCCAGGGAATGAATAACCCCCTAGTTAAGAACCCATATTATAAATAAGCGTAAATGAAAATTATATTTAGGTAATCTGTATCTCCTTGAAACGTTAACGGTTATATATCTAGGAGATCCGTTTAATGCAATAAAGATTTTAAATTCTTTTTAAAGGCGCCAGTTTTAAGCATTTGTGTTGTGGTTTTTTTATGTAAATATTATTTGATGTTAATTTGTATCATTTGTGGGTTTTATGATTAAATGTAAATAATTTGCTCTGTATTCAAGAAAAATTTCCTGTGTTCTTATTATATTAGAACAGAATTTCACTTTGTGTTTATTTTGTCTATTCAGATTAAAAATGTGTATATTTCTTATATGTGAAGGTTTCTGAAAAATCCTGATGTTAGCTACTGTGAAACCTGGACATCACCAGTTGATAACACCACCAGCTGTGTCTGGTATGAATCGGTATGTAACGTTAAGCCAGTTAGGAGATGGGACCTATGGTAGTGTTATGCTGGGCCAAAGATTAGACACTGGTGAAAAAGTTGCGATTAAAAGGTATGCTAAGTTCTGTCCTGAAATTTATTTTAAAAAGTGTTGTTTCTAATATCTTATTATGCAAAATTTAATGTTATAAAATCCTTTTAATTAATTTTATAAATTATCTTTGCTTTTTAATCAGCCTAAATATTTCAGTGCCCTTTAAATTTTCAATTTTTTTTTTTTAATTCTTATAAAGCAGTTATATGATGTTTGTGATGTACATGTAATTTAAATCTTTTAAAAATGTCAGTTTCATGTACGTTAACTGTATGTTGTATCATTCTCCATCTTTTGAAGTAAATACTAGTTCAAGTTTTATATTGCTTCAGATTATTTCAATACACATCATCAGAAATTGCTGCTGCTGAAATTCATAGATTTTATTAATTTAATTTATGGACTTGCCATAATGTAGATGGATAAGGGTAGAGTAGACTTTAAGGTACCCCTTGTATTATGGCGAAGTTGTTGTTTGATTTATCGCCAAGTTGTTGTTTCATTTATGGTAGCCTGAGTAGTTGAATGTTATGGAAACCCTATTGTAATCGTGCATGATTCTGGGAAATTTTTAATCATGGGATGTTTTGTAAGCATTTCTGTGGTGTGTGTTGGTTTGATTGTTTAGACCGGTAGAATGGCCGAATGTAGTTAAGATTAATTTGAAAGTTTCTGCACGAATTTGGAGCGAAAAGGGGAAAAGAGCGTTTAATTGACTGGTGTGTAAATGAAAGGTTTACTTAGTAGCCATTATAATTTATGTAGTGTCCTGTATGTAGGAAGGATATGCGTTCTAGTCGAACGTAAAAATCCGTTTAGATGGATTTGTAATGGGTTTGCAGGAAGAAAGGTTCAGATGGCCACTATGGTGAAGCATTCGATCAGAAAGAGGTACCTGGTTTGAAAAAAGTGGTTTGAGTCTGATTGATATTTTGATTTTTACGTGGCTCTGGGTGTACGAAGCGAACTCGAAAATCATCAAGACAGAAGTGTGGTGTAAGAGATTTTCGAAAAAAGTGTCATCGACAGTCAGGAATTACGCAGGATATATTTTACTCTTATTTTTGAGAATTTATGAGGCAACGCCGATTACGGATTCAAGTTCAGATAATTTTAGGAATGTGCCACAAACTAAAGACGAAGGAACTTCTAAACAGGGTAAGTGTAACATATTTTTCCTTTTTTATGTTATTTTATTGTTTGGTTTAAAATGTATTTTATTGAGATTATGTATTTTTTGTTTGCCTATTATATTGTAGAATTTGGTGCTCCTTTGACTTTTTAAGTGAAAATATATCGATGTGTACATGGACAAAGTAAAGGGAGGGCGCAATGCAAGTTTGTGCAATTTGGGGAAATTTTTTTTAAGTGAAAATAGGACGACGTGTACATGGATAAAGTTAAAAGAGTTCACAATGCCATTTTTGTGCAATTCGGAGATTTTTTTTTTTATGTGAAAATAGGTCGACGTGTACATGGATAAAGTCAAAGGAGTGCACAATGCCATTTTTGTGCAATTCAGGGATTTTTTTTTGTTAGTGAAAATAAGTCGATGTGTACATGGATACCGAGTTTGTGCAATTGTTGTCTTGTTAATTTGGCTTTGTGTAGTGGCGATTTTTGACACAAAATTCGCCACTTCGCAAGCCAAAATAACGAGTCAAAGAATTGCACAAAATTGGTTTCCATGTACCGCCAAAAATCGCCAAGTTTCGCCAAGGGCTACCCTAAACTATACTTTTACCGGTTCACAGATTTTAAGCAGGCATGCATTTTTATAAAACTGCTGCTAAATTATTGAGATGTGAACTTAGAATTAATTTTTTTTTTTCTGAAGAAGCTAAATTCTTCCAGGGAATATGAAATCTACAACTGATCATTTATGAAAATAATCGCAATTGGAAACATTATTCTTGTGTTAGTGTTACCAGATTCAGAAATGTACTTACGTATACATGTATGGATGGATATGTTCACATAATGGCATGCATAAATGTATGTATATATGTGTACCACACACACATATACATGCATACACATGTGCATATATGTTAGGGTGAAGCACCGAAATCTGGAGAATGTCGACTTTCACCAGTGAATGTCAACATTCACATAGTTGCTTGGTGTATGTCCAAAATATTTTCCAAATACTCTTATTTCAGACTTACACTGATAAATGTCGATATTCACCATGTACTAATGGTGAATGTTGAACATATAAGAATATTATATTTTCTTCTCTGTAATTCAGTAGCAAAAAACGCACTTGAGACTTCAAATAAGAACTTAAGCACATTCAGAATGAGAAAGGAAAATAATACAGTCAAAAGTCGTTAATCTGGACTCGTCGGGACTTCAGCGATTCCGGATTATAGATCATCAGTTTAAATCTGGTAAGATGGCATGCAGAAATTACAAAATTAAAAATATGAAACCGTAATTTATGGAATAAAGAGCAATTATGATCTAAAGGGTATCAAAATTTACAAAAAGAAAAAGCTTAATATTTATTTGTTTACTTTATTAAACATTTCCTTCAATGTAAGTTGCTTCGTTTCATGTGATAATACTTTCTCTTTAATTCTATTAAACAGACATAATTTCTTGTTTAGTTACAAAGTTCCGCTGTTCAAGTCCTATAATTGCTGTGTTGAGAATACCGACTAATTGTCAATCGAAATGTTTTCGTTTTCAATAACCTCTGGGTCACTTTCTTCACTATCTGAAGCGAATTATAATGACGAGGAACTTGATTTAAATCATATCAAAGACGGAGTATATCGAGATGAAATACTTACACTTAGTACGGAATTATAACCAAATAAAATAAAAACATCTGAAGATAAGGATAGTGCTGACAGATCAACTTGCAATCCGCAGCGTGAAATTGATAAACAGATTTCGGATTTCAAAAACATACTTTCGCTTTGTAGATACAAATTACATATTAGTAAAATATATATCGGAAATTCTATTTGACATAACCTTCTAATCTATCATAATCTAATAATGACGTTTCTGCCCCCCCCCTCTGCCGCAGAGCAGCGTGAAATTGATAAACAGATTTCGGATTTCAAAACATACTTTCGCTTTGTAGTAAATATATATCGGAAATTCTATTTGACATAATCGAAAGTTCAAGCTTACTTTTATAAAATTGCTCTAACAGTCTGCAAAAAATAATAAGCCGGATCCAATTCGAAGATTAAGGAACAACGCAATCTGCAACATTAACTGAATTAGATAACTTTAGCTTAGCGTATAACTCCGTTACACATTAAACGCGCATGCGCACAAACATATTCGCAGCTGTAAGGGTCTTATGCGCTCTCGTAAACGCCTGTGCGCATGCGTGAAAGCAACGCATGCGCAGAAAGTTTGTAGCTTTTGAGGTTCGGATTATAGATCATTCCGGATTATGGGTGTCCGAATTAACGACTTTTGACTGTAGTAATAAAAAACTTACTAAATTATGTGATTCAAATCTTATTTATTGCAACAACTTAAACTATTATGACACTCTCTTTTTGACCTACACCAGAGCATATCTGTTGATTGTTGACATACACACAGTGAGGGTCCGAATGTAAAAGAATGTAATGCAATATTCGATCTTTCACCGACGTATTTGGTGAATGTTGACATTCTCCGGTGAAAGTTGACATTCTCCAAGTTTGGTCTTTCACGGTAACATATATACATACATTTCTTAATTCGGTCTCGATAACAGAAGAGTACCATTGAAGCTTTATTTAATTGCTGAAATTCAATGCAATGAAAGATATCATTTTGCAGCAGATGTAATGATGCATATATAATATAAAAATGTTAATCTTTCTTTCTTCAGTAATAGCTAAATAATTGCGGTTAATCTTCAGATTATGGTAACTTGGCGAAAATTTGGCAGCCAACCTTGCTACAGCAACCTGCTAGGTTTTTTTTGGACGCCATTTTGTTTTCACAAAGTAAAGGCATTTTTTTTTTTTTTTTTACTCAACATTTTTTTCCAACAATCTGCTAGCCGAATTACACTTATGCTAGAACTTTTATGGAACAAAAGTGCTTAATCATGACGAAGATTAGGTGTGAAATTGGGAGAAAGTGCAGAATCACCCAATGCTTGCCGCGTTTTGAAGAATTGCACATACAACACCATATCCATATACACGCCGACCTATTTCCACTTAAAAAATTCATCCTAGAATTGCACAAAAATCGCATTGCACACACTCTTGACTTTATCCATGTACACTGGTAAAGTCCTAGCTAGTAACCTTTATCGCCTTACCAAAATGTCGCCAAACTACCTGTTACCATATTCTAAAGATTAGCCATAATTACTATTAAGTAATGAAAAACATTCATATTTAATTTATTTTTGAGGAAATATACCATATTTGGCAAATTATCCCCCCCAGCATAATGAAATCATTTCACACCAAACTTATAGATAATAATAAAAATTTATTTTTCCTGTAAAAGTATCATATAAGTAATTAAGAAAAAAAAAAGAAAAAAAAAAAAAAAACTATCCCATCCTTGTTTAGTTCTTGTGAATAATTTACTTTGAATAATGTCTCGCTGATAGATTCAGTAGAGTGTGCATAAATTGACATTGATAGCAGTGTTTTGTAATAAAGCTCCCACCTGTTTAAGTTCTGTCAGTAGCAGTTTTCCTGCCATATTTATACATTAATGCCATATTTATATGTAATATATTTTCCTGTCATATTTATGCAATATTTATGCTCTGAGAAACCATTAAACTTATTAATTTTTTTAGTTTATTATCTTATTAAACTTAGTGTAAGTTTTTTGTTTCTTAATGCACAACTTGAAACTTGGTTTAGGGGTTTTAAAATGAAGATTTTTGTAATGATGATAGTTTTTCAGTTTGCGCAAGTAAAAGCTTACAGCATCAATGTTCTTAAGTAGAAATTCTTGAATCTTTAACATTTTCTTAGCCATCCCAACGAAACAACAGTTTATTGCTATGCACATTTATAATAAAGCACCTG